CGGTGCATACCAAGGAGGGCGGTCGAGAATCGCCATTGCGGACGGGGAGATGACGACGTACTACATCAAAGGCCTACGAGGAAGACGAGGTCAGCGACCTTAACCACGCTGGTGCCGGGGTGGCAAAGAAGAGTAAGGGCACATACCTTGATCCGTCGGGGCGGGTTGAACCGGAGGCCACCAAGGACAATGGTACCAGGTCGCCGTTGCTGGGAAGCGAGGCAGCCGGCAGCGGGCGGAGGAAGAAGACGATGGCGGCGGCGGCGGCTCACGCGCTGGGGGAGAAGGGGCGAGGCGAGGAGAGAATGAGTGGGCCGAGCAGCCTGGCCGGCCCGTTCTGGCCAAGTGAAACCAGAGGAAGCGGCGTCGTTTTTTTTCTGTGGGCTCGACCCACGGATCCAGCGATGTCGTCGCGGTCTGGACTGCCACGTCGGAAAAAGTGGTAAAACGGCAAGAGACCAATCTTAAGAGTGATGAACTTGAAAGATCAGCCCTAAGAGTGCCAAACCGGAAAGCGCCATCCGTAATAATGGTAAAAGTGAAAAATCCCCGTGAATTTCTTGTTCCAGCAGGCAGCAGCTTAGCCGTCCGTGCGTTTTTTTTTAAGGAAACTGGAGGGGTCTCAGCGCCTACAGCGTCCGTGCGTTTGCGCCCCAGGTCTCGCATAAACTAGTGCAGATACTATTCTAACGACCCCAGCTTTCCACTCTTGTCAAATTTGGTTTACAGCAACCTTTGTCAAAGGAGAGAGGAATGGTCATCTAATGTTGCTTCCTCGGTCCGTTCCAAAGTCATTTTCTAGCTTGTGTTAATTTAAATTTCTCTAGTTTTAACCACATTTTCAGAAAACATTAGCAATGTTAAGTAAATGCACTATCAAAACATATATTCCAACCTCTAAAAAAATTCCTAAAGAATTTAATAAAATTACTTTGATGTTATAGATGCTTGTATTTTTTAAAAAAATTATTAGAGAAATATTATCACAAGATGGCAGAATATATAGGCAAAACTATATCTTAGGTGAAAACAAACGGTACCTAAATGAAAATGCTCTAAAAAAGGCTCTTATCATAAAAAGGGTACCCACCATGACTCCTTTGTGTATAAATTACACCGTGCTATAGTTTTAGGAGTGTTTGGATCACAGGGCTAAACTTTAGTCCCTGTCACATCGGATATTCAGATGCCAATTAGAAGGACTAAACATGAGCTAATTATAAAACTAATTGCATAAGTTCTGCCTAATTCGCGAGACGAATCTATTAGCCCATGTGATGCTACAGTAATATGTGATAATCATGAATTAATTAGGCTTAATAGATTCGTCTTGCAAGTCATAGCTTACGCAATTAGTTTTATAATTAGCTTATGTTTAGTCCTCTAATTGACATTTAAACATCTAATGTGATAGGGACTAAAGTTTAGTCTTGGGATCCAAACACCATCTTGAATTTGTATGTCAGTGAATTTCTTGAAGATTCATCCCAAAATATTATGCTAATCTACCTCCTCGGCCTCAAAATATTAGATATTAAAGCATTCAGAATTTATCCTGAATTATCATAAATTTTAGATGAATCAATTCGTCCTACTCATTTAATAACTACTCTAGGCCCTAGTCACGTACAAACCCATCATTAAAGGGGAGGTTAACGCGCAACGGAGCGCACGACCCCTCGTCTACCTCGTGCCCGGCGTTCTCCCCCCTTCTCCCTTCCCGTGCCCCTCCTCCTTTGCCCTTCCTCGTCATCATCCTCGACCCCCACCCTCCTCGTCGCCAGCCCTGCCCACTGTGGGCACTAGGGTTCGCCGAAGCTCCGACAAACCCTAGTGCCCGCGATGGCTGCCTCATTCCCCTCGCCCCTCTTGCCGGTGATGTCGAGCTCCAAGCTCCTGCCATGGCGCCCTCGTCCTGACCTGGCCTGGCCGCCATGACCACCGCCAAGCCCCCTAAACCGCACGGCTTCCTTCCCCACCGCCTGGCCGACCTGCCTCCCCCCGACCGGCCCTTCTATAGCACGCCGGATTTGGAGAAGAAGGGTGGGGCGTGGCCACCGAAACCCTAGCGCCGTCGTCTTCTTCATCTCCGGTGCGACAGATCCAAAAGGAGGAGGAGGCCTGCCTTACCGATGCCGAAGAAGATGGCTCGCCGGAACCCGCTGCCGTCGCCGAAGAAGACGGCTTGCCGGAACCCTAGCCGCGCCGTCATCTTCTTCAACTCCGGTGGGTCGTGGTCCCAGGCGGTTGCGAGAGGGAGAGGGAGACGTAGGAGGGAGAGGGAGATACGGGAGGGAGACGGGTCGTGCCGTCGTGGAGAGCGCGACAGGTCGCATAGTAGAGATTCATATCATTAATGTCATTCTCAACCTAACCACTAGGAGCAAAAATATAGTAAGCATAATATCTCTTCACGATCCTAACGAGGAAGAATAAAAGCAAAATATCTCTCCACAATTGAGAGAGTAAAAGCTACATGGAGAGGACCCTTGATTTGGACATCAATCCGTCGGAAACAAACAAATCCAAAAAAGAAAAGAAAATGAGATGAATATAGAGGATGGAAGGAAGGAAGGGAGTAGGATGTAAACAAGCCAAACCCGATGAATTAACTCTGACAGCTTCAACTCCGAAGATCATCGGAGGATCAAACACGGTCAAGGGCAGGGTAGGGATAATGATTCAATTGGAGAGGACCAAAAGTGCCGTGACTGAATCCATCATGACCGCTTCAAAATTCTTTAATCCTGATCTTTAATCTCTATTGCGCATAATAATGAGTTTATTTTAAGCCTGAAAGTTGGTACCTAACATTTCACTACATAGTTAAATCCACATATGTGCTTGGTCTCTTGGATCAAACCATACAGTCCTATTTTTTCCATAAAAAAAGGAATAGAAAAATACATGTGGTTGTTCAAGCGTAACCTTCAGGTTGGACAGATATGAGCATTTATTTTCTTACGCGTGTCTAATTGTTATTCTTTTGCTTATCCTGTTCATGGCTGTCTCTGCATACACATCGGATTAGACCTTTATCTAACTTTTCATGCTTTTGTTGCAACATGTTTTGACGAGGTAATATAAAAAAATCTACTATTTGATGGTTTTACTGAAACCACAGGTTGTGAGCGGTGAGCCTGAGACTGGGTCCACACTAGGGAAGTTTGCTCAATGACTGCACACGGCCACCTCTGATCAAGTGGTGAGGCTGACCAAATTTCTCATACGGCATATAAATTATAGTAGAAGATAAAAGGTTTCCTTTCTCTTTTTTTGCACAAATTAAAGAGCTAACACCGGTACTTAATGATTTCATTCTTTCATAGTCTCATCTCAACATAGAATGGAATCAACTGGTTGGATTTAGGTATTTTGCCTTCTATGTAAAAAGGAGGGGTTTAAATTTCTCGAAGCTGTTGCTATCTTTGGATATAGTTGTTTGAGATCTCTAGCTGTTAAAACTCTATTTAGCTACTCCCCTGTCCTTATAGTCATTTTGTTTTTTCTAGGAGATAGCTTTTGCTATATATTTAGAAAAAGACAAAACGAGATATAATTTATATGAGATAGAGTAGTGACTAAAGCCCCATTTGGATCTACCTAGCTAACTATTCACCATTTTAGTCAGAAGAAACCAGCTAATACTTAATTGTTAGCTAGATAGCAGGTAATAAATTAGTTTTTATTAGCTAGATAGTAGGTAAAAATATTAGTTGACTTGTTAGCTTAGGATCCAGTCGGCTAATATCTAGCGGCTAACTATTAGTTACCTGTCATCCAATAAGGATCTCTTTGGAACACATGATATTCAGAGCATAGGAACATGAAAAAATATAGGATTGGAGTTCCAGGTCACCTGCAATCCTATAGGAATTGAAATCGTAGGAACTTCTCTAATGGAGCATTTGATACAATATAGGAGAAGCACAGGAATTACAAGAGAGATAGACACAAAGGAAAAGTTTATAAGAGGTTGGACCTAATGTTAGATTTCCTTCCAATTTTTTATGGATTAAGCCATTCCATAGGAATATTGTAGAATTTCATGTTTAGAATCCGACAAAATCCCTCTATAAATCCTTTGTTCCAAAGAGGGTCCAAAACCTAACTGTTTAAGGAAGCAAATCAGTAAATATTGTACCTCACGATTTATAACATCGCTCAAAACTATAAATCTATATGTAGATAGAGGGTGAATTGAGCACAACACAACTCAGCTGGTTAAGTTCTTTGTGATGGAACGTGTCCACATGGTTTAAGCCTCGATTTGACATAGGTGTTTGTAAGTTTTTGGATTTAACGACGCTATTCTTTTAATGGTAGGTGACTGATGATAATTAAGTCGGTCTAGCATAAAAATATATAGACGGAGATTTCTAATAGGTTTAATTTTGAGAGCTGACTGCTAGATATGGATAGAGATGCACAAGCAGCAGACGCCTGATCAAAAGTGTGGTTTACCGTCAAAGCAATGGTTCCGGATGCCCGTGCTGGTACGCACGTGCTTCACGCCTCCCCGTGCAGTGCAGAGACCATGCCCACGCGGAACCCGATCGGGCGAGCCCAGCCCGCCGGCCCTTCTGCAGTTTGGAGAGGGGTAGAAAGTTCCGACTATTGAATCCTCCCCCTCTCCAGTTTCCGTTTCGCTTCCTCGCGATTCTCTCTCGCATACATTTCCCACCCCGGAAATGGCCAGAACCTCGAGGCTAGTAGGCAAGCAGTAGAACCCACCCGCGGCTCGCTCCAGCAGCCCCCATCGACGCCGTTGGCGAGCGAGCGCACAGGCGCGCGTCGCACCACGTCAGCCACCCACCCACCACCGTCCTCAGCTCCGGTGTGCAGAGCCGAGCCGCTGGATGGCCTCGCGCCAGTAGAATCCGTCCGGCACTTTCTACCCCACCCCACCCCACCCATCCGGCCGCGGCCGGGTTTGACCGAGATCGGCAGGCGGCCGCTGGCGTCTGGCTCGATCGATCCGCCTCGTCTCAGTCCTAGGTATGGCGGCGGTGGCGGAGGGATCGGCATCTGCGGCGGCGAAGGAGGTGGAGTACCAAGCGGGCGTGCAGAAGCTGGTGGACCTGCTGTCCAAGCTGAACCCGGCCGCCAAGGAGTTCGTCCCCTCGGCGGCCGCGTCGCCACCCAAGAAGGCGCTGTCGGCGGATGCGCCGGTGTTCGATTACCACTCCATCGGAGGCGCGAATGGGGCCGCCGACGCGGCCTTTTACGTTGGGTTTGGGAACCAGCACCGCAGGGTATAATTCCTGATCCTGCTTTCGTTCTAGACTTGATTCTTCATCGGAGAGCGGGGCGCTTGGATCGGCGCTGTGGTTGGGTTTGTGTGCAGGATTCTCGATTTGATTGCTTGTCTCACCAGTTGTTTGGTAAAGTTTGGGTTTTTCCTTTCTTCTCTTTGTGTTGAATTGCGTTACCGGTTGATCGTTCCCGTAGTGCGGTGGTTGGCGTTACTCTTTGGGGAACGGTTTGCCCTCTTTCTTTTGACGTAAATGTTTGATCTTGATGAGGTGCCACTCCGTTAGTGGAACTGATGATGCACTATCTAAGCAATTCTGTTCTTTTAAGTTGATCTGTTTTTTTCTTGTGTGCTTGATTGGACAGTGATTGTATTTTTAATCTGGTGCCGATTCATTTGATTTGATTAATATTTTGGTGGTGTCAAATCTTACTGATTCAATTTTTAGTTGAAATCACCTGTTTTTGGGAATGTTTTCTCTATTTCTGCAGATGTTTGTTTTAGCAGAATTTTATCCTACAAGGTTCGTTTGCACTCAATAGTAGCAATGGTGGACAGGTGTGGTCATTTGGAAGGAACCAATATATTTTTGACTATAGAACCATAACATTTGTCATGGGAGTACCTCATTGACCCGTTCACTGTCCTGCAATTATGTCATTCAATACCCATACTGAACCTTCTAGACAAAATGTTATGGTAATAAAATTCTTTTCAAGTCTTTGATCAATGTGGTATTTAGTTTTTCAACTATGTGATACTTTCCCCAGGACTGCTTCTTTGTTTGGTTATTTAATTGCCTCGGACGTACTAGATGATCAGATGTTTGCAAGTGCTAATATTGGACGAGGTGACCCTGTTGAAAAGTATGATGCAAGTGTTTTTTTTCCATCTTCAGAGGGGGAATGGATACATCAACCAAGGAAGGAGGAGGACAAATGATAGGGTGAGGCGTGCAGAGAGAGAGGACAGCATTAGGCGAACTGTTTATGTCTCTGAACTTGACCATACTGTGAGTAGTTGATGGTTGCCTCAGCACCCATTACTATATATTATATATTCTTGAGTTGATATAAGATCTAATGATGTTGACCATCTGTTAGGTGACAGAGGAGAGACTTGCCGATATCTTTGCTACCTGTGGGCAAGTAAGTTATTTCATCTGAAAAGACTGATTCTTACTTGTACTTGTATGCTCATGTGATATTTGAGCACTTTATTGCTTGTGCTGATCAACAAAAGTTATTAAGCAGAGTCTATTAAGTGATCATGTTTAGTGTTCTATTCTGTCAACATGATCTTATATTCTGTCAACATGATTAACGATGTTTTTCCTAAATCCTAATGAACTTTCTCTCTCTTAGGTCGTTGATTGCAGAATTTGTGGTGATCCCCACTCAGTTCTTAGGTTTGCATTTATTGAGTTCTCTGATGAAGGTATTACATATTGACCTACTACTCAGATGCCTTTTTCTATAATCAATTTTCTTTTGATGAATTTTGAGTTCCATTTTCTCTGTAGAGGGCGCAAGAACTGCACTTAACCTTGGAGGCACAATTTTTGGTTTCTACCCTGTTAGAGTTTTGCCTTCGAAGACAGCTATCTTACCTGTTAATCCAAAGTTTCTTCCCAGGGTGAGCAGTCTTGCACTTGTTTCATGCCCTGATATCAGTATTCTACTATTCCACAGTATGCTAATACTGGTGGTGTTGGGTTTGTCCCGTAGACGGAAGATGAGAAGGAAATGGTCATGCGAACTGTCTATTGTACAAACATAGATAAGATGGTACCATCTCTTTTCTATGCCATAAAGCTTACTGCCTTTCACTTATTTGTTTTTTCACTGATGCCTTGTATTTTATGGTCCTGGATCTTGGGTGCAAGTTTCTGAAGCTAACACTATCAATTAGATGCTTGGTGATCTCATTTGCCATCTTCATCATGTAGGTTACTCAATTAGATGTAAAGAAATTCTTTGAAGAACTTTGCGGTGAGGTAAGCATTCAACTCTGTGGTTTGCCAAATCCACCATCAAATATACTATTTGTTAAGAGTAATAAAATCTGATTGATATGTTATATAATTTGCCTGCTAAATATATTTCCTTTGCAGGTCTCTCGGTTGAGACTTCTAGGGGATAATGTACATTCCACAAGGATTGCTTTTGTTGAGTTTGTCCATGTAAGAACAATACATTTTTATTTTCTGCACTGGTTAGCTCCTATTTTTATTGTTAAATAATGCTCTAATGCCTACCTACATTTAATTTACTAGCAAGTGATGTTTCCTGGTTAAATCCTCTAGCACAATGAGCTAGTTTAATTGGTCTATTTTGCATAATATTTTTAGCGTCACAATACTGTGGCACTCATGTCACTAGTAAACTCTTGCTATGATGCTATCCTAGAATGGGCATGCTGCATATTGTGCAGGAGCTTTGTTTGATACGATCAACTTGTGCATGTTTGGTAATTTCTTAATAGCATATGCATGAAAGGTTCTTGTGATACATTCACTCCAATGAGTGATGACAATAAGTTGATAAGTTTGTTCAAACAATTGAGATTTTTTCCCAGTGCTTATTGCCTTTTTTTAATTGTATATTGACCTGCAACATGATTGTGCTCGTACAGGCATGCGTTATATTTTGTTCCTTAAGATGGAGATTCTGATTGTAACTATTGAACTTTGAATCACAGGCTGAGGGTGCCATCATGGCTCTGAATTGCAGCGGGATGATTTTGGGAACTCTGCCTGTCAGGCATGACCTCCCCCCACCCACCTCTTCTATTTCTGTTTATTTATGGGGTATCTAGACTGAAAAATTGAACATTTGGTATTTGCTAATGCTGATCGCACTGTGGAATGTTCAGGGTGAGCCCTTCTAAGACTCCGGTGAAGCCACGTGTAAATCGAGTGGGATCTTACTGACTCTGCGTAAGCTGAACTGGATTTGTTCACGGGAAGGCATCGCCAAAGGCTTCCGCGGTCCAGTGCATCATGATGCATTTGCTTACATCCTTACAAACATTCTCTTTGTTCCCTTTTGCAAACCTGTTGGAAGGGAACTGGTTAGATCAGGCCCTTTTATAGCCAACATGCGGTTCTCTTGTTTCATTCGACATGATGGAACCATTGAGAATGACTATTCGGCAATCAGCCATCAAAGTAACTTATGTTAATGTTCCTAGTGTTAAACTAATTGGTATTTTGACGCCTTACATGTGAATCATCACAGTTACTAGGCCTTGTTCGGTTGCAAATCAATCTAAGGGGGTTGGAGGGGATTGAGGGGGTTTAAATCCCTAGCGAGTCAAAATTTCCCCTAATCCTCTCTAACCCCATGGAGTGGGGAATAACCGAACAAGTGTATCCTGAATTCCTTGTTCCCACATGCATTCCAAATCCCCTGCAACCCCCATAGAACGGGGAATGACTGAACAAGTGGTATCCTGAATTCCTTGCACACATGCATTCCAAAGTTTTTTCTTGGCCCGGCTGTGTCAAACAAGCGGTCCCCCGTGGCTTCTGCCATGTTCGCTTGTCTTATGAGCCGTACTGTTTCAGCGAAGAAACAATGTTTTTCTCTCACAATAAATCAGCGAATAGTACTTTCAGTTATGGCTTTTCAGCGAAGCGAACAAGGCTAGTTGTTAAAAATCTGTAATGTTGTACGCCTTTACTATCTTAACTAACAGATACTCTGATTCTACGATTCTAATCAGTATTGATTCAAATTAGAATCTACAATATCGACAACCTGATTCTCCAAGTGAGAATGATATAAACATACATAATTCATATGCCACTTAATCACGGTTATTATATATTTTTTTCATTTAAATTATAAGATGTTTTGAATTTTTTAGATTCACAACTTTTTATACGCACTTAAATATAATGAAAACGTCTTATGATTCTTCTCAAGTGAGAATGATACGACATACGAGTAGGAATGGCAATGGGCAGATTCAGAGTGGAGTTTCCATGGATCCAAACCCGAAACGCGAACTCAAAAACCGAAACCGCTCCGAACACCAGTTTAGGTGATAATCCAAACCGGAAGCCAAAACCGGTGGATCCCGGAAACCCGATTGCTGATTGGTTATCCGATACCCGAAACCCACCACTATATGGCAATAAAAAACAACAAAGAATTTCTAGTAACACATGCATGATATATTTTCTATATTCACATTTATAAACAAGAGGCAATAAACAATACATAATTTCATGTCTCAACTTAGAACAAACTTAATAGCTTACATAAAATTTTTATTAATAAAACACATGGGTTTTTATTCAATTAGAATCGCAATGCTAACAGTACATAATGGTTATGAATTACTCTGTTACGAAGTAGGGAGTAATTCATATGATCAGTTAATGGCGTAGAAGTCTTTTTTTTTTAGCTCATGGCGTAGAAGTCTTTCAAAGAGAAAAATTAACTGCGTAAAGAACGCATCAAATTCACAGGGCCAGGAGATCTCCAAGGCCAGCCAGTTGGTTGGATGATTTGTCCGCAGCCGCACCGCCCGCGTCGCCATCTCCGGCGACCTCACTCGGCGCCACTGCCTTCTTCCCGCACTGGTGCCTCCTGCACTGGCACGAGCGGGTGCTCACCGCGCTCCCGAGCCGCGCCAGCGCCCCGCTCCCACCTCCCTCCTCCTCCGCCACCACGACGGAGCCTCCCCTCCCGCCGCCGCCGCCGCTCATCCACGCCTCGCACAGTGCCTCCTCGTGACCGTCCGCGCAGCAGAACGAGCACCTTACCACGGCGGGGGCAGGGGCGCAGGCCGCCTTCGCCACGCGCCACGCTTCGCGCACGCCCTCGGCGCGCTCCCAGATCAGGGCCAGCGCCACCGCGTCGTCCAGCGCCTCCGGATGCTGCGGCGCCACGCAGTCCCTGAACTCGGCGAGGAGGCCGTCGACGAAGGCGGCCTTCGACAGCGCGTCGGGGACGTCGACGCCTACGGCCGAGCACCGCCGGAGGACCCCCTGCAGGCGGAGGTGGAACCGTTTGACGGCCTCGCCGGGTCCCTGGCTCAGGGCCGCGAGCTCGGCGCGCGCGCGGTCCGCGGCGCCCGGCGGGCGGAAGAAGTCGAGGAAGGCGGCGCGGATGGCGTGCCACGGCGGGGTCGGCGAGTCGTCGTCGGCGCCGGAGACTCTGAGGTCGTACCACAGCGCGGCGTCGGAGTCGAGCGACGCCGGGAAGATGCGGGCGGCGGCTGCCGGGGTCGCGGCGCCGTTGGCGCGGCGGACGCGGTCGAAGCGGGCGAGGTGGGCGTCGGGGCACTCGCCGGGGTCGCCACGGAATATGGGGAGAGGCGCGATCGCGACGTAGGATCCCATGACGTCCCCGTCGTCGTAGTCGTAGGGGACGGGGACGAAGGACGGTTGCTCCAAGAATGAAGCGCCGGTGTGAGAGGGGCTGAGTTCTTGGGAAGTTTCGTCGATGGAGGAAGGGGTTGGTGAACGGTGGCGGAAGAAGTGTCGCCGGCGGCGCACAGGCGTGCCGTGGCCGGAGGTGGAGGGATCGGCGGATGCCCGGCCCATGGCTGACTGTGCGCCGGTGCCTGTGTGCTTGCGCGCGCGAAGGAGAAGGACAGGGAAGTTTTTTCTTTTTTGATCTCAGAAGGACAGGGGCGTTGGGCGTTGGGGCAGTTCCAAAATTTTGTACTTCCGCTTCCGCCGTTTCGCGTGGACGCAGTGACGGAGCTACAGGGTGGTCCCTGTGGGCCGTGGAACACCCTGCGTCTCGGCCCAACTAACAGAGGCCCATAGGATCCAGGTTCCTAAAACTCAGTCTCGGGCGTCTGCCCCTCTCGCCCCCTCTTGCTCTCCGACGACTGGTGGGCCGCCGCCGCCCTAAGCAAGGTGCTGAGGCTTTAGCTGGTCTCTTCGTCGGCGACGAGCACCCACCAGGTACTCCCACCCCTTCTCTTCCCTTCCCTTCAAGCTGAGCACCGAAACCCTAACCGAAAGCTATTTAGCTATTTGATTGACAAGCCTCCTAACTTCGAAGTTTTTGCAAAAATTATTGGGTGTACATGTGTACACTCATGTCCCTTTACTGGATCCGCCCCTGATCAGCACCACCAACTCCAAGTGGCAATCACCATGGCAGAGCAATCAGGCGAGTTTCTTCTCTGCTCACATTGCATTCTCATCTTTTGCTTCTATGTTGTGGACATCTTTGGTAAAGATTTAAAATCTATGCTTGTTGAACTAGTCAATTAGTTTTATTGTGGCTTAGTTTTAGACTTTGCATATGATCTACGCCTTCAACTTTTCAAGTAGTAAAGGTTATGAATCAATTAGTAATGGTTATCAGGTTATGCCAAGGTTCTGTGTAATTTTTGCAAAAGTGGCTAAATGGCATAGCTGCAGCTATCTCCGGCTATAGCTGCACTTAGCTGTTGTGGAGGACAACAGCTAAGAGGCTTAGCCAGAGATTTAAAACCTTGGTATATACATTATCTATATCATAATCCATACCCACTCATATCGAATTTTGGCGAAAGAAATATTGATGTACACCCGTGTCCTAAACTGTGTCCCGCCCTTGTGCTGCTGACTTGTGCTGCTTTATTTGATGTTCTGAAGGTTCTAGAAATGGACCACAACAGAAGTCCGTATCCTGATGCTGTTACATTTCAGGGGCCCAAAATGCTTGGGATATGCTCTCTGACGAGCAGTCACAGATACACATCACTACTGGTTCTGGTGACCTCAATGGCATACTTGGTGGCGGGATTCACTGCAAAGAAGTTACTGAGACCGGTTAGTTTACTTTCTAATACTGTTCCTAGCGAAGGGTCAAATAGGAGCTATTGGGAAATTTTTTAATCAATTAGCTAGTTATATGTAACCTGTGCTTCTTTGTTTGCTTCATGTCTACTAGTGATGATCTCTCAAACTTTTGTGCTATTCTGAAGAATCATAGAGCTTAGTGTGTCTCTTGTTCTATCATGCTTCGCTCCTCGCATTCAGAGATCAGAAAATGCCCTTAATTTTCCTCTATCAAGTAGTTTACATAATTTTGATTCTCTCAGTTGATGTATGAAGGGCGGGCCTGGTGCAAGCGGAGTCTTACCGCCTGTTACCGGAAGGTCCCAGGTTCGAGTCGCGGTCTCCTCGCATTGCACAGGCGAGGGTAAGGCTTGCCACTGACACCCTTCCCCAGACCCCGCACAGAGCAGGAGCTCTCTGGGTACGCCCTTTTTCTCAGTTGATGTATCTGAAGCAACTGACCTAATGCACAACACTAATTTTATTCAGGTGGTGTCCCAGGGGTTGGTAAAACTCAACTGGGGTATGTTGTGCTTACTAATCAATACAAGTACAGCAGATCTCCCTACTAAATACGTACTTTTTCTTCAGGATTCAACTAGCAATCAATGTACAAATCCCAGTGGAATATGGTGGCCTTGGTGGGAAAGCAGTTTATATCGGTAAATAGCTTCACACAGGAATACATATCATCTAGTGCTTTACTGAGAAAGCGTAATAGCAGTTGTCTTCATCATAATAGATACAGAGGGCAGTTTCATGGTTGAACGTGTCTACCAGATTGCTGAAGGGTGTATCAGGGACATACTGGAGCACTTTCTGCACAGCCATGAGAAGTCCTCTTCTGGCAAAAAACAATTACAGCCTGAGCATTTCCTGGCGGACATCTATTACTTCCGAATATGCAGTTACACCGAACAAATTGCAGTCATAAACTACCTGGAAAAATTCCTTGGAGAGCATAAAGATGTGAGTTTCTTCAACAGTTGACTTCTCAAGTCTAACTTTAATACAACTATTTCTGTTGTGTTGTCAATCTTTTTTATCTTGATACTTTACCTTTTCTTTTGCAATCAGGACATTATAATGTACACTAGTTTTTTCTCTCCCAGTTCTTTTTCTTTGTTTGCAATGTACAACAACTGACCTAGTGTTCAAAAGTAAAGATTTGGCTATCTACTTCGCAGGTGCGTATTGTTATTATTGATAGTGTTACTTTCCACTTTCGACAAGATTTTGAAGATCTAGCATTGAGGACCAGAGTGCTAAGTGGATTATCATTGAAGTTAATGAAGATTGCAAAGACATATAACTTGGCAGTAAGTTACGCATCATGCGTATGAAGGGTATTAATTCTGATCGTATGTTACCTATTTGATGAGGCTAACATATTTATCTTGTTCTGCTGAGCAGGTTGTCTTGTTGAACCAAGTCACTACTAAATTTACTGAAGGGTCATTTCAATTGACTCTTGCTCTAGGTCAGTTTTGTGTCATACAAGTATAATCCTCCATTCCTTCATCATCTTCGAATCAGTACTGGATGCTTGTGGTCTTTATTGTTCACAGAGCAGCAGGAAATTAGCAATAAGAATTTCCTAATTATGTGCTTATGTTATCAAGGTTGGCTTTCTGTTCTAGTGCTGGCACACACTTCCAGTGACTAAGTCAAAACGGCTGAAATGCATATGGGCAAGCTTTTACTAATTGCAGCCAAAACTTTGGTACCGTGATAATGTAGGGTGGATGAAATTATCTAGGCAAATCGTACACTAAAAGCTGAAAATATTGTTGTGTTTTTTGTATAATTGTAGCATATGTAATGTGCATAACTTTCAATCTATACCACAATCTTGTGGCTCCACTACAATTGGTGCCACAAGCTGTGCCAAACCTTTTGCATCGGCCATACACCAGAGGCCCCCTTCTTAAAAAATTCTTCTAAGAACAACTTGGACACTTGGTGCAGCACCATTAAAAACACACTCATTTCTATGTCGCTTAATCATCCATGCTCCCAAGGAGATCAACGAGTTTACTCCACTTTTCCAATGTCCTGGAATTAAAGTATTAATCTGAAGCCACCAATCACAGGATACCTCATCCCCGACTCATGGTGAGAGGTCCGGTGAACCAGATAGGCGCAAGAGTAAATACCAAACTTGTCTAGAGAAGACACAGTTTGTCAAAATTTGTTGAATTGTCTCCTGCTCTTGATCACATAAAGGGCACTGATTTGCATGAGGCAGCCCTCTGCGGGCAAGTATATCAGCAGTCCAACACCTATTATGAGCGGCTAGCCATAGGAAAATTTGACATTTCTTAGGTGCCCATGATTTCAAATAATATAGGGAGATCCCCCCCCACACACACACACACACACACCCACACCACCTGGATATATGACTTATATATAATATGATCTTGTCCAACAAGATCCACACCATGATCACCTTTGCAGTAACCCTATTCCCGTGTATTCATTCCTCTGTTTTATAAGAAACTGGTATTATGTTTTCAAAAAAAAATAAGAAACTAGTATTACAGGCTAAGTTCCGATAAATTGATAAACTGGTTATAGTTTTGACACTGTCCAAGTTATGACAATAGCTACCATTTTTTCTCTAGTGGGGTTGGATACTTGGATGGATGTTTGCCAAAAAAAAGGGGGGGTGGTGGGTGGGGGGGGGTGTTCAAGTAGATGGGTGACTGTAGCTTATCTCTTCTGTTCAGTGACGTATTTCTTCTGAATATTTCATTGGCACTGGACACTTGAACCGATTATTCCAAGATAAGATGATGACCTTGTTATGCAGGTGACAGCTGGTCCCACTCATGCACGAACCGGCTGATTCTGTACTGGAATGGGAACGAACGATACGCACACCTTGATAAGTCTCCTTAACTTCCAGTAGCCTCAGCACCGTATGCAGTGACAGGCAAAGGGATTAGAGATGCTGTGAGTCCAAACCACAAGCGAGCCCGAGTAACATAGCATTCTTGGTGTCAAGCACTTGTATCTCCACTATGCTCTTGCAGCTTTCTTCACCATGGATCTTTGGGGCAAGTTAGGTGAGACTGGAGAATCATACCACTTTTCTGATTCTCAATTGCTTTGTGCTGTTAGCTACAAACCAACCTTAGAGAAGTAGATGCAACAGAACAGGCTACTATAGTGTTTTGTATCTGAACATGTGGCACATCTTACATTCAGTAAGCCTATAACAACTGGCTTATATGTGCTTCTCTGTTCACCGATCAGCAAATCAACATTGTTATTAGAGAAAAACAGCTGCAGTGTGGGAATTGGCATGGACAACAGTTAACAGGACATGTGTGGAAGAATGTTCTAAAGTGTAGAATATGATGGACTGTTGCTCAGTTCCCTATTTTTCATTGCTTTACGATTAGTGGGCATATCAAGATTGTTCGTCGCCTGCACATGGAAGCTGTTAGTTGATCTCCACCAATAGGCCCAACGGCCTATTGGGCCCTTGCCTCTGCTCCCTGATCGGGAGAGCCCAACCCTAACTGGTTGGTGGACCCCTGTCGCACAACACATATATATATAGAGGAGTGGGGAACTGGGCTCGGGTAACGAGGTTGAACGGAGCCGCCACCCACCTACAGAGAAAACCCTAATCCGATCTTAAAGAAGTGCTGCCAGCGACGGGATGTGCCCACCGACGACATCGTCGCCCCCTGTAGGTCAACACCGGACCACTGCAGTACCACTACGGACTTCACCGAGCCGGAGCTACCGCGGCACCGGCGTCTACCCGCTGTGGTACATCTACGGAGAAGACAAGGATGAGGTATTCCCCGGATCTACGGGTTACACAGAGAGGTAATCATCGATCCTAACAATGGTACCAGAGCTAGGTTGCCTCTGTGTAACCCTAACCCTAACCGGGTAAAAGAAAAAGTAAAGGGACCGGGGGTGGCGGACATCACTGGAACCCCGGTCACCACCGCCACCGCGTGGGGAAAGAAGCCGCACCGTTCGATGGCGCACGACAAAGAACAGAAAAGATCAAATCCAGTTCGGATCTGACAAGAAAGAGGGTTCTTCCCAACTCTAACCCTAACTCACGCGTGAGAAAGAAGAAGAGTGGGTTCGGATTTGGCCGAACCCTAAGACCTAACCCTAATTTGTAACCCCATCCCAAATCGGGTTAATCCCAAAAGAAGAAGGGGAAAGGGGAAGAAGGGGAAGGAAGAGATTCGGAAGAACTCCAAAAGGAAAAGAAATCAAAGAAAAGAAAGGAAATCCAAAGAAGAGAAAAAGAACAGAGGTCGACACACGAACCCTAACCCTAAATCCATTCGGATGAACTCCGAAAAGAAAAGCAAGACCACAAAAGCAAATCAGAGAAAGGGGAAAAGGGGAGGGTCGGATACCGAACCCTAACCCTAGATCTAAACCCTAAGCCCCAACACTCAATGGTTTGGATAAGAGGAAAACAGATCCAAATCAAAGAGGGGGAAAAGGGGAAGAGAACGAACTCGCCGTGCACCGCGCTGCCGACATCGCCGTCGCGCGGGAAAAGAAGACCGAGCCGGGGAAGATTTTTTGCCGGGCTCGGCCAAGGGGGCGCCGTGGCCAGGCCGTCGGATCGAAATCAACGGCACAGATCAGATCGGGCCATCGCCGGCCTAGACGGGCGCGCGCGGCAGCGCAACTTTGCCGGCCCAGGCCCAGGTTGCGGCCTAGGTGCGGCCTGCGCGCGCGCGGAGAGATGGGCCGGGCCACTGTATCAGTTCCAGCCCAACAATGAGGTTTTGAATCTGTTTTGTTCTTTCATTTTCCATTAAAGATTTTATTTCCTGGAAAATGAATAAATGGTTCAAAAGAAAAATAGAAAATGTAATTTTTCCCTGTGGGTAAAATTCAAGAAATTGAGTATACGTTTTCCGCTGCTAAAGAAAAAGTATATTCTCCAGTGATTTTGAATCGACGTGATATTTAACTGGAGAAAAGAAAAGTTTTTCCAGTAAATCTTTATTTCCTGGAAATTGATTAATGGATTAAAGGAAATCGAAAATACAATTTTCCCTGTGGATAAAATTCAAGGAAAAGAAAGTTTTTCCACAGCCAAAGAAAAGTTGTCTATACTCCAGTTATTTTGAACCAATGTGGTATTTAATTGGAGAAAAAAAGATTTTTTCCGCTGCCAAAGAAAATGTTGATTCTCCAGTTATTTTGAACCAATATGGTATTTAATTGGAGAAAAAGATATTTGACATGATTATGATGTTGTTATTTTTTGACCAACGTTGTTAATAACAATATCATAATTTTAATGATTTATGCATTAATTCTATTTCTGCCCAACGGTGATGTAGAATTAGTATATAAGAATAGATGTTAATTTTAATGATTTATGCATTAATTCTACTTTTGCCCAACGGTGATGTAGAATTAGTGTGTAAGAACAGTTGTGAAAGTTAAAGATTTATGCATTAATTCTATTTCTGCCCAACGGTGATGTAGAATTAGTGTATAAGAATAGTTGTATGTTTTGATTTTGATCAACGTTGGAATCAAGGCATGCAAATGGTGTTATTTTTATGATAAGAAAAGTTTTGACCTAGTTTTCATCTTGTCTAAGGTGGACTGGGTAGTCATCTCACCGTGTTCCACTGAATTTGTGGCACCAGTGAGGGAGACAAAAGAGAATGATGCCACTTGGGCAACTAAAGAGAGGGATTTTGAATCCCAAAAGATAGTCCTATGACTGTTGTGCATAGGAAGTGAGTCACTGCCAATAAGAAATGTTTTGGCTGTGATAAAAAACATGATTGAATCTGCAATTGTGGGCTCAATCCTAGAGTGACACAGTCACCGAGTACCTCGATAGAATAAAGAGTCAGTTCACTGGCTCTTCAAAGACATATGCTACCCAGCTGATAAAGCAGCTGGTGACAGAGTGTTACTCTAGAAATGGTGGCATAAGAGAGCTCACGATGCGTTGTCAAAATTATGGCACTATCATTTAGGCCATATTTTGAGGGGGAGAATAGAAAGACAAGTTATGTAAAGAAGATTAAGAAAGATGACAAACGAAGCGCATGAATTTTACAGATTATTCACACAGACATCTGTGGTCAACTTTCCTGTAAAGAGTGTGGATGGTTATGATCCGTTCATAACATTCACAGATGATTACTCCCATTATGGCTATATTTATCCAATCAAAGAAAGAAAAGATGTATTAGATAAATTTAAGATATTAAATATTAAGATAGTCAGGTCTGACCGTGGGGGAGTACTACGGTTGGCATACCCTAAACGAATGGCATAGTAGCCCATTATTCTACACCGGGTGAACCTCAGCAGAATAGAGTAGCTAAAAGAATCAATCGTACCCTGATGGATATGGTGGGCAGTATGATAAGTTACTCCACCTTACAGTTGAGCTGTGGATGGAGGTGTTAAAAACCCTATTCATATTCTCAAAAGAGTACCAAGTAAGTCGGTGCCCATAATGCCGTGTGAGTTGTGGACAGAAAGAGTACCCTCACTAAACCACTTGCGTGTGTGTGGGGGAGCCCTGCTGAGGCTAAAGTATTTAACCCAAATATTGGGAAGTTATATCCCAAAACAGTAAGTTGCCATTTGTTTGGCTACATAGAAAAGTCAAAAGGTTTTCGTTTCTACTGTCCT